TATATATATTTATCTATATATAATACAAATTTATTACTTTAATAAGAAACTTACTCATTTATCGATTTTGTTTTAAAAACAAAATATTTACTTATATATCTACAGTACTAAGATTATGTTTCTTAAGATTTAAATCTTCTTGCAATCAGACTAATTGACACAAATTTGAGTTTGGGTAATATATGTCGACAAAGCATATCGGCATAATGTTATTTTGAATTAATTATATTATTATTATTATTATTATTCTAATTTGCGTGATCGATGAATTTTTACAAATAATCTTTTTATTATAATTTTATACATTTTCTAAATATCTGTATATATATAATTATAATCTTTTCAATTATATACATTTTTTTGTCATAAAATCAATTTAAGTGGTAATTGCAGAGGTGCTTTTTATGATTGAAATCAATTGATTAATTACATACTATTTATGTGCGTATATAAATATATGCATATATACATATATATACACATAAATATATAATAATCATTGTACAAACAGAATAATCATTGTAATCATGGAATATTAAATACGGCAGTCATTATCTGTTATTATTAGAATTTCATATGATAATATGGATAAATGTTACAATATTTCACCTATATCTAACAGTTTAGTGTAAATTAGAGTTATCTGCTAAATACATCGATCAGTCTCAGAATCGTACTTAATATTGATGTTATATCCGATGTTAACAAGTAGCACAATGATGAAAAAGTCATTATATAACTAGAACATCTTGTTGCGAGATCGAATGCCTCCTAGCATATATTTACATACATATTCATCCCTGCCATAATTTATTGAAAACATTCTATACATCCACTTCTGCGTCTAATATAAAAGACAATTCGTTCATAATACAAATGCATATTATGAAGTACTTGTTTATTTAACACGTTAAACACTATGCTAGTTTTTATAGACTGGCTTTAAACTTTCTGCCCAGACCAAGTCGATTACCAATGACAGACATTCTTGTTTCACTCAAATGGAAAACTCAACAAAAGAGGCTTAGCGCTTAACGCGTTAATAACAAGAATTAGAAGGACGAACGTTTATATATGTATGTATATATATATAAATATATGTATAAATTTATAAGCAAGTATAGAGAAAAATTTTGTATGCTCCTAGTTGCACCACGTTATTTTAAGTAAACGTTATATTTAATGCCATAGTAAATTAAGGTAATTGATTTCATAGTAGAAACTTGCAAGATTTACGTTCAATCTTTTTTACATATTATTATTATTATTATTATTATTATTATTAATATTACTTTAAATCAGGTTTCTAAACTATCAGTCTATTAGAGATTTTTATCATATATTTATGTATATATAGGATTAATAATTATCTTTCAAAAATTTGTTATCAAAATCCCTTGTATCTTTGAAAATTTTAGAAACCTGATAATAATAGGGCAGTTTAATTTTTAAAAATGTTTAAATCTTGCATGATTCTCGACAAAAGGTACTCGTTTTGGAATCTGCCAGGTCACACCATGAGAAAGAATATTTGAACCCCTTACATCAGTCATGTTTGTAGACATTTTGTCAAATAGCTATAAACAACATGAAAAATATGATAAAGGATTTTTCTGTTCAGAATATTTTGCCAAAATCAATTATACTATCAATATCATTAATATAAATCATATTGCTGTTTCTTCTTTTATATATATAATTAATCTTAATTATAATATAAACGTTGGTTTCGATTAATTAGAATAAAAATCCACACGCATTTCTTTGACATAATGATAATATAAATACCTGATTAAATCTTAAGACTTAATATTATATTATATAAGCACAACCTTGTCTTCTGTCCTGTTTCATAGTAGATTGTTCTAAAGAAATTTGTATATCAAAGTTTAATTCGTTACTTTGACGTTAATAAAATTGTAATAAAGTATGTATATCGCATACTACGTATCTAATTGATTTTTATATTATGAGAAATTTTATTATATATATATATATATGACAATAGTAATAATTAGCTGCACATTAAATTTATTTTTTTAAATCCTGCAATAATGTTTATCGATAAACTTTTGGTTTAACATTTTTTTTCTTTTTTCAAAAACACGCTTTTAAATATTTTAATATACCATAAGTATCACCCAATCGTATTTCTTAGAATACATGCTATTCAATCTATTCTGGTATTCATTAATTCATGATTCTTTTTCTTAAAAAATAGTAATGAATAATTGATTTCACATTTACATAATAATCAAAAAATAAATAATTCCTAGAATATTGCGAACTGAATTGACCTGGAAAGTATATGATTCTTAATATTTGTTACTTTTCTATAACAATATACACATACATGAAAAGTGTTGAATAAAAAGCAAAGATAATCTGTATAAAAATATATATATATATATATATATATGTATATGTATATATATATGTATATATATAATATTGCATAGCAAGGAAAATATTGTATTGCAAATTAATGTTAATTTAAAATATAAATAAATTAAACAATTATTTATATTTCTCTATAAGGAAGGATCATTGCACAAAATTCAAGATTCGATAAATAATTTATACATAAATCTCTAATCATAATTAATATTTTTTATAGAATACTTATATTATAATTACAACAGTTTATCATAAATAAACCATAACAGTCGTAATTCTGATATTAAGTTTTTCTTTTATTTTATTTTGTTTAATCCTTTGCACTCTGAACATATTTTTTTACTTTTGTCTATAATTTGCGTTTAAAATTATAGAAGTGATAAGAGAGTGTTGAGAATAAAATTCATTTTTCTCCGCAGTTAAGCCAATGGAGTGCGAAGGGTTAATTAATATGATCCGTCCTTTTTACTATTGTAAATCGTAAATTATATAGTGTTAGTTACAAAGGAAAATAATATTCACAATAAAGAGATCATAGACTCTCATAGTCAATAGAAATATATAATGAAAATTTGTCAAAGGACAAGGTGATTTATCTCGTCGTCCTTTGACAAATCTACATATATTCAGTGTTTATCATTTTCATACAAATAATCAAATTTCTTTACTCATTAGAAATCCACTAAAGCCAGACTGGCAGTGCATAATGGTATACAAAACTTTATATTTTAACTCTTTTCTGTTGCAATAGTTGTAAGTAAAAGTATCTTATTAGTAAAAATTATTTAATTTGCGCGCGGTTTTCATTTTACTTTTATTTTATATAAATGTAGCATAAAAGAATGTGACTAAATGCAATAGAATAAGATAAGTTTGATAGGATTCGCTTGCTTAACAAAAGACTTTCTTCCTTTGACGGAAAAGAGTTAAAATATATTTTTTCATTTCTCGTCAAATGGACTTTGAATACGATGATAGTAGATCACAAATTTGACAAACTCCATTTTAATTTTAAATGATTGTTATCAGATTAACCAATTGTATTAAAATTGAATATTACGCTTAAAAATTTAAACGGAATTAGCAATGTATATTGTATGTATAAAAGACTTCGCTCTTGGTTCATGCATATTGAGGTTTAAACTTTATTAAAAATATTTCTGGAAATAGAAAAGAAGTTAATGTCTGTATTATAAAATGCACTGCTATCTTGAATAAAAGTTCCATAGACTGAGAGATACTTTTTTGTTTTTAGTATGTTTTTGATTAAAAATTGAAAAGAAAATAAAAAAAAAGGAAAAAAAAATCATCACAATGAAATAAGAAAGTCTTTTGCGATCGTACATGGACTTTCCTAATAAAATATATAACTCTTATTAGAAAATGTTTTTTTTGTGCATGAAACATGTGTATGATTCAAATAAGATCTGGAGAATAATCACAATAATCTGTTCTCAACAGGTACATTAGTTTGTGTGTTATCTTTCTGTAACGTGTCCATTTCTGAATTCTAGGAACTACCAGCCTTTACTTATTTACCATTATCTTTAAATTTCGTATCAAATAACTGAGACTTCAGCCCATTCCTATTACGAGTGCTTCGTTAGTTGTCACAGGAAATATCTTAATTAAATTTGCTGGTCCAGTTTGCCAATCTGATTATATCATATTCTTAATCATCAATTTTCGTCCCCAGTAATACTGCCTAAATATATCATCATAGTGATATGATTAATTTTATCAAAGTTCAAATTATTTTATTTAAGAAATTAATTTGTATATTATTGCTCTAAGTGGATCAGGATAATAATTCCTGAACACATCATTGGATTCCTTAATTTTAACGTCATGGAATTTTGCACAGATAGTTTTTTTTTCAAATGCATCTGGTACAATAATGTATGTCAACATTAGATCCTAGTTAAATACAAATGACCCTCTTTTTTCAGAATTTTTGGACCCGAACATTTAAAAATTGGCATTTTGGGACATCCACATAAAGTATTCGCATATACGATTGCAAAGATTCACCCAGAAAACTGAAGCTGTGGATGGATAAACTTTGAATATTATTTAATAGTACTCTTATAAATGCATTCAGACCAGAGATGTAATAAACTGCCATCTGCTTTCTCACTGAGTCAATACTTATATATCCTTAGAATATTTTTTTTATAATGATAATTAAACGCATACAGCTTATATTATATTTGAAGGAAAAATTGATAACCTTTCAGAAAATTTATCGAATTTCTAAGAGGTTAGCAATTTATAAGATATGGCAGTTTATAACACGCTCTCTCTAAGTATTCTACAAACGATAGTCGATAAAAATTTTATGATCTTATTCGATTGTTCCTTTTCCTTTTTTTTTCTTTTTCTTTTACAACTACTTCAAAAGTGTAAAACGAATTTCAACATTGTTATTCGTATAAAGTTATTGGTATCATAGATAGTTACAAATATTTGTATCAACTTGTAACAAGTAAGAATAAAAACTTCTTACAATTCTTCTTCTTTTCTTTTTTTTTTTCTTCTTCTAAGAGCACTACTTATCTAATTCATGTCATAACAATTACCCTAGTTAAGAAATCAGTTATTCCCATTCATAACATTATAAACTCTTGAATCGTATTTAAAATACAAAATTCTAAATACATCCTTCCATAGCCTTTGTAGTCTGGGTAATGATGGTAGCATGTTTAAAAAATAAGTTTGTTAGTTTCATAACATATATCTTTACCTATATAAGAAAAAAAAGAAACAAATAATAAATTAAACCGCTATAAGATAATTGACATTAATTAGAAACAGATTGTCTAGAAGGAGTCGCATGCATTGCAAAATCAACAAGTGGGTTGGCAGGGACAGTAACAATAGTATGTGAGCTACCGCTTAAAGTAACATTGGTTGACGATACTAAAGATAATGGCTTACAAGAGAGTTGGTCTATTTGTTTAATAGGCACCAATTTAATTGGCACATCTGACTTTAACCTGACAGATTCCGATACGACAGGGATAGCTTTTAACTGTACACTCTTTATTGGTTGCGTTTTAACAATTGGTTTAAGGTTGGGATTAACATTCATAATTACTTTCGTAATTTTACCCTCACCAACCCCTTGATTAGAAGACTCATCATATCCAGAATCAGAAGACGAATCACTATATTTACTTGTTTGTTTGGTCACTGTCGAATCTAGACCTGATTCTACGCTGTGGGTAGGACTAGCCGATGCAGAACTATGAACAGGACTTGCCGATGCAGAACTATGCGCTGGACTATTTCTTAGCACATTTGACTGTTGCTGCCTTTGTTTAGACAAACTGTTGTTTAGACAACCTGTACATGGTTTTATTAATGATGGGTCTACTATAACTTCTCCATATAGCCCTTTGAATATTGTTCCACAGCAAATGTCTTCCCTAAAATAAAACCACTCATTTATAGAAAAACTGTAATGAAATATAAATTGCCCATTAAACTGACCCAATTATTACACTTTAATTAATACCTTTTGAAATAAGATAAATCAATGAAACCATTAAGAGATAAATCATCTTTTGCATTGGTAACCTCTTGAGCAATGTCTAATGATTTATCAACTGTAGGAATATCGTCGCTGTCAATGGGACTATCTGTTCTACTGAAACACTTGCTACCATTTTCTGGCACATAATTTTCTATAAAAATAAATAAAAAAATTATTTCTTACAATGTACTCGTATATTTAATAAAGAATTTTTTATTTCCATTTTGTAACTCACCAACCAGATCAACAATCATTGAAAGATTTTGTTCACGTTCTGTTTCCGGTTTCAAATAAATGTTGCTTTTCTTTTTCATGATTTTTTCAAACTTCTCGGGTGCGTCTTTAAGTTTTTTTTTATTTTTGGATTTAAATTTAGTCAACGATTTAATTCCAGGCCCTGCACGAGCATCTACAACCTACAAAGATATTATTTTTTATCATTTTATTCATCATTATGATCGCACGTATGTATTACTTTCTATAAAAAATATCAGAATGCAACTAACATGTCTCCAGTTGCGATTACTTCCAGCTGGTAACTTTTTCCATCTCTTAACTAACAATACACAAGCATTACAAATTTCCCCAGTGCGTTTTTCTTCCAATTGAAAACATTTTATAAAATCTTCTTCGTATTTTTTGCTATCAGTAAATCTTGAACTAAAATGAAATAAAATATATTAATTAATTAATCAAAAATAATATTAAAAATATGAAGTAAAATATTACCTGCTAGATTTAGCTTTGCAAATACAACATCCGGTACTGGATCGATAAACTTTGGGTTTGTGAAAACTGAACATATTGCTGATTATTTTAATACTTATTCTGCAACATAGTAAAAAGTAACGAAAGATGATATAAAATCATTCGTTTATCCAATAATAATATTCAAATAATAAATGAAATTATTACATTGATCACACAATACTTTTCACCATACGTTTATCAAATATCTGATATCGCAAAAATCGGAAAACTAGCATCCTCCTGTGATACGAACACTGATGCTTTATTATTTCGTAGATCATAATATCGCGTATCCGCAATCACGATGCTCTTAGCACTGTAGAATCGAAATGAACGTTATCAATAAATTAGTAAACAAACAAATAATATTTTATCTTTTTACTCGTTTTATTTTATAAAAAAGAATGATTGTGTTCAACGATACAGCAATGCCGCTTCTTCCAGCTGGCAGTGTATACAGACGAGAGACGCTACCGCGTTATTTGTAACACGAGGAAAACGGACAACGATTGCAAACACGCACGTAGTACTCCAAACACGTTAGTAACAGTACAGTATAGAAAAGCTCATGCGCAAACCCACGACGCACAATGTTGCGTGCGCATGCACCCGAAAGGGCGTCTCTCTCTCTCTCTCTTTCTCTTTCTTCTCTCTCTCCAAGCTAGCCAACTATTTAAACAAAAAATTTAAAAAGGGTAAAAAATTATTTAGAAACTAATAAAAACAAATGTTTTTTTCCATAACAGGATTTCAAATTTGATTGAAGAATGATTTGTTTTCATCTTTTGGTCTCTGAGGCATCGTAAAAAGATCATGCGCAAACCAAGAGACGCAAATTAAATGTTGCAGCTCGTGTGCAGCAAAAGGGTACTATTATCTTTCTCTCTCTCTTTTTCCAAGCTAGTAAAGGATTTAAAAACAAACATTTAAAAGGGATCGAAAATTGTAAAAAAATAAATATTGGTTTTTCCGAAATGGAATTTTAAATTCGATTTAAGATAAATTTCTTTCATCTTTTTGTTTTTGAGGCATCGTAAGAAGATCATGCGCAAACCCAACAGACGCACAATGTTGCAGGGAGCATCCAACAAGAAGGCGTCTATGATCTCTTTCTCTTTCGAAACCAACCAATACTTCTTAAATAATGCAGAAGGGGTTAAAAATTATTTGCATAAAAACCCTACTTATATCTTTTTATACAGAACGAGATTTCTTTTCGCCTGAGACATCGTAAAATTAATCAGAAAAATAATAAGAAAAAGTATGTCAAGAAATGTCTCGCAGAAGAATGCGTTATTGATATAAAAATATATAAATAATATGTAAATAATCAATATCGTATTTATATATATATATATACATTCTATATAGTTCAGTTGCTTACGCGTGCAACATGGATACGACGTTTGACAATTCTTTCTTCGATTGAATGAATGATTTTGTTGTTGAGAAATATGAGGAGAGAGAGAGAGAGAAAACAAAGTTTCGGAAGATTTTCAAAAGTCTTGGGAAATTTATCAAGGATGACAGGCACATGTTGTGCTGTGTAATCCAAAATACACGTATTCGTTCTATACACGACTGATTCTGAATCTCTCGACTCGCGTGGAACGAAACCGGCTCTCTAAGCTTAAAAAAAAAGAAAAAAAATCAGAAGGATAGAGTGAGCGAGAAAGAGAGAGAACTAGAAAACATATCCGTACCGGCAAAACAGATACCTAAAAATAGGAAGCATGAAAACCACAACAGAGTGCAATGTGCGAATAATATGACGACTTACAGACGGCTTAAAATAACGTCTGTAATTTCTTTTTTTTTTTCTTTTTGTTGTTTTTATTTTATTTTTTTATTTTTTATAAATGTATAAATGTATACGCAAGCTGCTACATTCCGACGATTCTGACTTTGCCAATTTGATTTACATATATATATATATATATATATCATATATCGTGCTCATGTATAAAGCATCGAGCCGGCCGGTCTTCTATACTTTACTCGCGTTCAATAAAATAAATGAAATTGGTACCCCATTTATTTAAAACATAAATAAATTAAATGTACATAACCTAAATATAAATATATTTGGTCGAACGAAAGAGAGCATTAGCGTCGAAATAAATTCGCGAATAAGTTAGGTTATATCTCTATAACCTCAAAAATGATTTCCTCCATTATCCGAAATTCTAAAATGTAAGTCAATCGCGTAACCGTTCGTATTACTCTAATAATAAATAGATAGGATTAGTTATTATCGATAAGATCTAGAACAACAAAATTAATCAAGATTAATACGATATCGTAAGTCAGAGCAAACCATTGTTCATCGTCACCATACGAAAATCGCGTTAAGCTCGGTAAACGTAAAAGCGTATGAAAAAGTAGTTTTCCTTCGGATACCGAATTTGTTCTCTTTCTTTGAGCGTGTGCATTTCTCGTACGTTTGTGCACGTGTCTCGTTTGTCGCGTCCTCGTCTTTTCTTTATTCGTTCTAACCGTTCAAGGTGCCATATTTTCGTTCAATCTTTTTCTTTCTTTCTTTTTAGGGAGGGAGTGGCAACATCGGTAAATCGGTACAGCGTGTTCACAAAACAATGTTGCATTGCACGATGATAATGATGGCAGTAACAGTTATTTCCAAAACGATACGAAAAGTGTAAATAATACATTCTTATCGTTACGCATTATCACCAATGACAAGAAATGTTAACACGAAGTAAGACAAATGATGATGCCGGTAATTAAAACGGAAAGGTTAATACGAAGTAGTTCCATTTTCTATGATCGCGATCGATCGAGAGAAAGGGATATGTAATCTTATTTTTCTTCTTGTCTCCCATGTGATACCGAAAAGCTGTTCGAACTTGTTACCAACCCGGTTACAATCTTTGTTTGCTCGATTACGCGCGCGTCAGCTCTGATAATCTTACAAGTTATTTTGATTTTATTTGTGAACTTAAATACTGATAAATAATCATCGAAATAGTTAATAACATTTTGTTGTTATTCCTCTTGAAGACCAAAATTAAATACCATATTTCAAATGTATGTGATTAAATATTTTTGATTATGATTAACATTTGTAAAAAGATTTGATGATTCAATCGAACAAATTCACTTTCAATTTTATTTTTATTTGTATGTATATTGTCACACGCGTTTCGTTGATATAACACATTGTAAGGAGGAATGGTTGAGAAAGTAGTGACACACATGTGTATCTCTTGTCGTCATGATTTCTCACGTACGTACACGTACGCAGAGAGAATTCGACGCAATGTACTACACTTACAATTAGCCTTGAAGATCTGACCCGATAATTTAAATTTAGTTTCGTTTTGAGTATCCCTTTAGTCTGAAGGAGTAAGCATTTTTCATCTTAAGAAAAATGTCGACATATAATATCAATCAAAAAACGAAAACAAAAAGGAGTGCGAGAGAGAGAGAGAGAGAGAGAGAGAGAGAGAGAGAGAAAGAACAAATTTATAACTATATCGTGTAAACAAAAAGCAAAGTTAAAAGATATGATAACAATCTGAAGAAATAGACTAGTTGAAAGTATGGACCATTGGAAAGATTCATAAATATCCCATATGTTGTCGAAAAAGCTATAATAATTATTTAACGAGAACCAACAAAAGATGACGATGATGATAATGATAAAGACGAGCTAATAAAATTTATTTTTAAAAATCATATTAGTTCGTAATAGGTAAAATTTGAACAAATGTATATCCCTGACACGATTACCCAGTAATCTAACTTTCGTCCTCACTTTTACCGTTGTCTTAAATTCTCCAAAGGAGAATGTACTGTTACGTGTGTGTAAAATGTGCTCGTGCATGTGCGCACGCTCATAGAGATTACGATTTGCGCGCGTTGTTACGCGTTTAGGAAAGTTTCTTTTAAAAAGAGAGAGACAAAAATGAAGGATATGTACACCAAACCCGCGTAACCATTTTCACTTAATCTAATTCGATTGAAGTTTCTCTCTCTCATTGAAAGTGAGAACGTTTTGTCCATGACGTTATCTCCTTACGATAGATCGATAAAAATCCAAAAAACAAATTGTAAGAAAAGGTATTTTCATCTGAAAATAAAAGGAGAGAGAAGAGAGAAAGAGAAAAATCTATGATCGATACTTCAAAAAATTGATTTAAACAATCCTTTTGATACAACTATATATTCCGTTTTTCGATGTCATTCCACAGCTGTTATTGGTTGGGTGGGCGGAGCTTGACGAAAGTGTAGTCCTAATGTTTTTTGTTTATATTTGAAGAAACCTAAGTTTGTCTAATGATGCTATAAAAGTTCGATCGAAATGATGACCTACATAAGAAAATATACATACGTCGTGATAAAACAGGTTTTCTTCATTATTTCGACATGGGCCAATCGCATTTCAAGTTTTTTTTTAATATTTGTTTAACATATATTGAACTTTGCATTGAAATAATTGACGATTTATAAGTGATAAACGTAACGTTGACTAATGAAAATGTATTGTTTTGTTTTATTTTTCAAAGATTAAATGAATTAGTCAAATAAAGTTGAGAAAGAAGAAAAAAAAGCCGCGGTTTATTATTCATGTTGATGAAAAATGGGAAGAGAAGAGGAGAGTAAAGTAGAAGGGACCAATGGGATACCCTTTTGAAACGTGCATCAGGAGTAACTCGACATGGCGCGTGGTTCGGCACGGTGGTCGCCATGATCATTTCTTTCCCTTTCCTTCGCACCGACCGACCGACCAACCAACCAACCCTGTTTCGATGAACACGCACGGCGTAGTGTCAGGACGAAAGATAGAAAAATATAAAATCGATGCTCGAGCAATAAACGATATATCTTCGTAAAGAAAAAAAGAGATATGTTTAATCGTCGTTGTCGTCATTCTGTCTTCGTTGAAGCATCATTGTCGCCCTTACTAATCATCTTTTACGAATGCGTTGTCGCAACGGTAATGTTAACAAGAATAAGAACAGAAAAAGGCAAAACAAATGAATCGAACGGAGTAGTGGCAGGCAGCTACATATATAGTAACCCGCCAGAAGAAGAAGAGTGTACGCGCCATGACAGATGATACGGCACACACAACACAAGTAAACTTGCCAAATAGAAGGAGCCACGCGGTGGCGGCAGCGGCATGAAAACCGCGGGAATCACGACAAGGAATGTTTATTAGATTTATGTCATGTATTACATACGATCGAGGATGGCCGACGACTGGATGGAGATGATCCCGCGTTAAATTGTAGCGTCTTAGTTTGATGCACTGCCAGGACACTTGGTAGATATAGTACTCGATGAAATATCGGGAACGTTAACGATAGGATGGCAATTGTACGTACATATGTACGTACTTATTATACATATATACACACACACCTTACCCGTACCCCGCACACCGTCTTCCTCACCAAACGATCAGTCGTTCCTGCGTACACGAGTGAAAGTTTTCACTCGGCACTTGACATAAACCGGCCTGATTTTTCCCGCCGATTAAATCGAATGCTTCTGTGAACGCGACAGACAATGTTAGCGATATTTCACAGCGATGATAATACTTAAGAATTGCTGCCGACGATACCTCAAAGCAACGTAGCAAAGACCTGATCCTCGACCTCCCCCACAACTAACACATCGGAGACGCTTGACAACTCCGGAACATATTTGTTGATCTCATGAACGTGATTATGCGTGACAATCGATCTGAACGACGACGCGTCCTTCATATAATAATCCCTTGTCTTTTCGCGACGATCGTTAATGAAAATCACAGTAAGATATTTCGATTTAATGACTACAGAATTACTTACCTTTTCAATACAGGTGACGGTCAGATTTGAGAATCTCTTTGCGCAGGTCTATGGTGCTGCTGCCGCCGTACCTTCGAGTCAACTGAGCGATCATTTGCTTTTACGATTTGCTTCGTCATTTTTCTTTATATTTATTTATTTTATGCTTTATATGTTTATTATTAAAAAATTTATTCATTAAAATAAGAATTATTTACAATCAATCAGTATCATTAATGATATCTTTGTTTTAAATGTATTAAAGTAAGAGGCAAACGAAGCGGTATTTTATAACCAATGAGAACCTTTCTACCGTGCACGACCTTTGATGAAGAGAATTACGATTGGTCGTAACCTGCGAAATGACAGGAACGTATATATATTTGACTTTGTTTCCGGTTCTTGGATTTGAGTTGCATTAGTAACCGTTTATTCGGTAAAGCTAGGTTACGATAAGATGAAATTTCTTTTAAATATATTTTCGCGTATATAGATAAGCTTTCACGTATTTATGAATGTGAAATGATACGGATTACAGTATTTGGATTTTTTAATTCAATAAAACTCTTGTGTTCTCAAATTATATTTATCATAAGTGAGATTTAATTTTTTTCTTACGTGAAATGTCAATTTTTTAACAAAGCGTACGTTGACCTATATCTTTTATTTTTAGTTCGTATTCTCTTATAACAATTGTATTATAATGCTCTAATATACTTTTTTCTTAGCAGATTTAAAATTAAATCGATATTGTTCAATAATAAATATTAAGTTATTGCAAAAGTTTATGTACAATTTAAAAATAGTATTTGTTAATTAAGAATGTACTCTCCATCATTTTCTATAACTGACTCTAAACATTTTACAACTTTTTTAATTCCTTCTTTGCAGAAACTGTGTGGTTTTTCTTCAAATAAAGTTGTAAAGTAGTTTTTGATTGCTTTCATGGGATCAAATTTTTTGTCATTAGATCAAAATCTGAAGGGGCAAGGTCAGGGAATACAGCAGATGCTGGAGGATTTTCCATTTTAATTTCCTAAGTTTTACAGTATCTATTGAGCGATATGTGGTCGCTCGTTTTTATAGTGAAAGATAATAATTCCTATTCGATCGACCAAATTTGAATGTTTTGAATATTTTTTTGTCGCAGTTTCAACGTTCACTCCTTTTTTAAACTCATATAACATAACATGACGAAAATGTAACTTTTTATTTTCCATTTTGAATATTAATCTTGCATGCAAATTAATTTAAAGAAACTTTTTTTTAAGGTTATATTGATTCACGACGCATTTAGATAACTGTCAGTTAATAATACGATTATAAAAAAATATCAACACAGTCAAAAGTGGATGCTTCTGCCATCTATAAAAATCATGCACGAACTTTTGCAATAACAATATGTTTTCATTTAGCTCCGTGGACTCCATGGACTATCCTATTCAAATAAAAGATAGGCCATTTGCTAGAATTGCTGCTTGTCCATTTGACAAGCCATTCGGCGATTATACGTCGACGATGGTCACGCTTCTTGTGGATATAAGGATAACTAAATGCCGTACATTAGAGATTCGTTTTTATCAAGCTTAATCCAGGGGGCAGTATTGTACCAAAATCGTGTTTGATGCAAAAATTTTGATATAACATAATAAAGATGACAATATTATAGCTGAAAGAACAAAGATGAATTTAATTAACCCTTTTGCTCCGACATATACGTCCTCGAAAAATGAACATTCAAATACGATGAGCGTATCTAATACACTTTCGAAAAGTGTGCAATCAAATACAAAAGAATAACGCGCTCCGTACACAGCGATCATATTTTGTCACAAGCGCGCCGTAGCGCGAAAGGGTTAATTAATAAAAAAAAACAAAAATTTAATTTTTTTAATATTATCATTTCAATAAGAACATATTGAAACAGAAAGAGTAGTAGCAATATAATAACATTTACACATATAAGGAGACATAAAAATATTATATATATAAGAAGAGTAGTTTTCCTACGTATAGGGGGGCTGAAAATTTCTGATTGCAGCATGTAGAGGGTTGAAAAGTTCAGAACCTATCATACACATGGGTGCAAATTATTGTCACGATTTTTGCAAGATTACGCCAAGATTTTTTTTTATACTTATACAATAAAAATGGATTTAATACTTATTATAATGGAAATGTACTGTGTCTAATATGTAGAGTAGGGCTGAAAAGTTCTGAGTTGAGCATGTGGAGGGCTGTAATAGAAATAGGGCTGTAAGTTTAAACAATATTACATTTGTATAAACATTAGATACTTATTAATATACTATGAATATAAAATAATTTCGAACTCGAATTAATAACTAAGTTAGAAAGTTTAAACAAATGTACTTTCGTTTAAATAATCCAAGATATTAGTAGAGTATATTAGAATGGTCGATAGATCTTAAATAATTGTTAATTAATCAAAAAAACTGTATATTATTGTCTAAAAGAATAGAGTATAAGATCTACGTACCGTTGTCTTCGAAATCTAACAATAAACTGAAACAATGTCCTCTGTGAAAATACTTTTATTACATATTGTTTATATGACTTTTCGAAAGTTGCGCATGTCTATGACGAGAATACTATTTCTAAAAAATAGGCCCATCCAACGGTAGACTTCGAAGAAAACAGTGCATAGATCATATATTCCGAACTTTTTAACGATAATAGACATTTCTATCGATTAATTAACAATGTTTTTAATACTCT